CCCGAGGCAAAGTCGGCCATTTCCATTCAGAAGTAAAAGAGGGAAAGCGAGGCGAGGAAAAAACTGGCCACACAGCATGATTTCAAAAGCCAATATAACTCTACAGATTCTGCAGTATGCACCATATACGAGTGGAAATTGAATCACTTCCTTAAGCTGGTGGAGAGAAAGAAAGAGTGCCTTGCTTTTTTACCATAGTTCTGCTCTGCTGACCCACAAGGTGCGTGGCAGCTGATGCTCGAGCTCGTAGGGTTCACACAGGGTTCAAGCGGGGTGCGACCATCACGGCGTCACCAGCTGCACCCGAAGGGACACTTTCACGACGTTATAAAATGACGATAAAGTCAGGCTCGGTTCGCACCAGGATCCAGGGGGCACGGCCACGGGGCACGGGCCGACCGCTAGCCCGACGGGTCAGGCCAGATAGACTGTAATAAAATGCAGTAACAAGGTCTTCACTGGTCGTGTGGATCGATTTTTACATTAATGTCCCATACTGACCCGCAAAGTAATTGTTTTCTCGTGCAAAAATGAAAAGTAAATCACAGTCCTGTGAGACTTCTTTAATGTAAGAAAACAGTCAGGTATTGCGTGAAAGAAGAAAACGAGTATTTGTCCTTTAAAATTGCGGGATGGAAGGAGCTGGAAAAAAGGGAAAACTCCTTTTCCGGAGGGGGGAGGGAGGCGGGAGGGGGAATCACACCAAGGGCAAGCAGAGGAAAGGAAATGGCATGATGCGTAAGAGGAAAGAGAAATTGCGGAGAAGGCAGGGGGTCGGGAGGAAAGGAGGGGGGAGGAGGGGAGAGCGACGATGTAAACACTCCGTACAAGCCAGCGCAAGATTGTCAACACTTCGCGTCACTCCCCCGCCGTAAAATGAGTCGGGAGGGCAGAGCACTCACACACCGACACACACACACTCTGACACACGGTTTGTGCTTGTCCTTGCGTGACGTGCGCCGCGGTTGCTTGCGGTTGATGGCGGCGGGACAAAAAGACCGTTCCCGTTTTTGCCCCGACTGTTTGGTTGACCAACGTGGGGAGAAGTAGTGACTCACTCACAAGGAGGCACAGCAAACCAGAGAAGGGAATTGGAAATAAAGAGTGAGTCTTTACTTTTATCTGGCCTCGGCCTTTTGAGGAAAATTCCATTGGAACATTCGGATTTCCAGTTTGCCGTGCGAATCAATTATCCGGTAGAATTTCCTTTAGGTGGCAGGAAAGAGAAAAATCGCGGTCACCCGAGCTACACATAGAAGGGTGGCAAAAAAGGCAACTTGACCCAAGGGAGCTGCGCTCATTATTTTTTAAAGCCACTTTAATAAGTGATGGCTCAGGGCACTTACCGGCAATGCCGTATTAATGGGAGGAGAAGCCTTACTCCCTAAGCCTGTAACATGGTTGGGGCGAGACTCCCTTACCCCATGTGAAAAAGTAGTACAAGTAGGCCTAACATTTCCAGGATGCAGAGGGCACAAGGTTGAGGCCGTGGGGGAAAGCAGATTAAACTGCGAAGAGGGAGGGGTTGGCGAGACAAGGCTTGCACCGCCAGATTTGCGCCCACCCCCTCCCTCCCTCCCTCCCTACCACGCACACAGCCTATTTACAAATACAATACGTAAATTTACAAAATTTTCAATTGGTTGACAGACTTGAATTTGTCTCAAGTTTAGTTAAATAAACAGCATTCACCTCTTAGATGATGGCCAGATACAGGTATGATCAACTCGACCAAGTGGAGCGATCGGAGTACCCATTTAAGACCGAGTTGATCCGACTTAGGGGCTGATCCGAAAATAAATAGGCAGGGACGAGGGTATAGGACAAGAAAATGATAGAAAAAGTGAAGAACGCCGGTACAGAACAAAATGTTACTGAAAATGTGTCGACAAGGTTGCTTACAAATTATTAGGTAATCAAGTAATTTTCTGTGTAAACACATACTTTACTGTATTTTTATGACTCACGTCACTTTGGCTTATACTGATGACAGTTTATTCGGCCAGACGAAAACGAAGAAGATAAAGAAAGGCATAGTGTTTTGCAAGTTTCGCAATTCTGGGTAAAGAAAAAGCTATCTAGTGGGAACGGGACAGGCAAAAGGGGATGAGGAAAGGGGCAAGTGAGAGAGACAGAGACGTTAATGAGATTGCTTTCCACCAAGTTATCGCCGACAGCCAGCACTTCACTTTATTGTGTCACTGGCGGCGCGCAAACCTTCTTCGCCCCGCCCGGCACGTGAGATGCTCCCCTCCCTTCCGCGGTTCATAAGTTTAGTCTGACACCGGACCCCCCTCCCCTCGACCCCTTGTATCGCTTTACAGAGAATTAGTGTCTGGCAGCAGCAGGAGAGTTGCGATGTGGGGGGCGAGAGCGAAAGTGGTGCGTGTGCGCGTATATGGGAGGCGGATGGAAGATGCAGGCAGAAAGAGAGGCGCGGGGTAACAGAGCGCTCACAAGTACACTGCAATACGAGCAATTGCATTGTCTGTATACATAGGCATTCCACTCATTGTGCCCATTTTAATTGCCTGGTAGACCAAAATGGTGTCCAGAAGATAGTCGACATAAGTCGTCTCGTTTTGCGGGTTAGGCGACTCTGTCACCCACCGCTGCTGGACAGGACACCCCAGATTCACAGTGTAGTCTGTCGGGCAGTTGGTACACAATCTCTGTCCCACCAGCTCGCACATATTCCCCTTTCTCCCGATCGCTCCGTCTCTCTCGCACCCCATCGGCTGCAGCAGCCAAGAGCGCCGCGCGTGCGAGGGGGGTGCGCGTGACGGCGCAAAGAGACGGACGGTGCTGCTGTGGCGCCCACCCAGCCTCGTCGCACACCTGTCACCCGTCACACACTCCATGGCGCCCGGCTCCATACTATCCGTCACTCGGAACATGATCGGCCCTGAGCCGAGTGAAGCCGAGCCGAGCCGAACGTGATTGGCCGGACACGATACCTCACAATGAGTCGGAACTCGACACCGCGCAGCTGGAAGCGCGCCCACGACCACGAGCAGGAAACACACGTGTCGAGGGCGACCGCACAAAAGAGAAAAATGAGAAAAAAGGGGGGTGGGGGAGATGGGCAGGGGATTAGAATGTGTTTATTATTGTTATTATTATTATCTATGCCCATTTAATAGAACTAAGGGTCCCGCTTGAATACAGAAGTGCTCGCAGGTAACCGATGTTGCATGGCCATTTCATTTCCAAGTGTCGTCGCACAAAGCCCGCGAGGCTTGGGTGCTGGCTGCCCTACAGGCACTGCCACCCTGGGACACAATACGGGCGAGTGGCCGGGCCGGACCTGGCGCAGGGTCTCTTTTGAAGGGCGGCAGGCGCACGGCTCCACTGGCTGCCCGTGATTCATGTGTGTGCGAGTTTCCTGGCCTGCTAATGTCGGTTTGGCTGGCCCAGCAGCCGCTAGGCAACGGCACCCACAGCCCCCCTCCCCTATTTTCCACCTTCCACATACTTCCCCACCACCACCACTCCGTCCCCCCCTTTTTCCCCCGGGGTCACAGCCTCTTTCTGCAAACACCCATCCCTTAATTAAACCGACCTCCACCGCCGGCTTTGCAAACAGGGGCGCGCGGTGGCGGCAGCGGCCAGTGGCACGCACGCGTCCGTACGGGCCGCGGCACGCACCAGAAGGCATTGTTAGCATTCGCGACCACCATTGGACAAGGACAAATAGAGAGAGAGTACAACTTTTACTTCCACCACTTCGAAACCGCACCCTTACGGGTTCACTTGTTATTCTTACTAGAAACGACAGTATGCGTAAACCGAACCGACTACCCAGTTTCTGTTTTCAATATCGTGCGAAAGAAGGAGGGACAGGCGGTGGAAGAAAAGTGAAGGGGAGGCGGATGGGAGGAAGAGCGGGCGCGAGGGGGGAGCGACAGAGACAATAGACTGCCAGGGCCCGGGGTGCCGAGTGTGCGCGAGTTGTAGCAATTAACATAGCCCCCTCTCCCCACCGCCACCGCGTTCACCCCGCCGCACGCTTACGACTGGTGCAAAACGTACACCACTCCCAACCACACACGTCGCGCGCCGCGGGCTGAAGCCGCATTTAAATTGGTGCAAAATGGGGTTGCTGCGAAACTCTCAAAACTGTGCAGCACTACTTCAGAAATTTGTGAACGCGCTGTCAAAAAAAATATCTTGATTTTTTGTTTAAGTTTTGAGATCTTCCCGACCTCGTATATTGTGGTACATTGCCTAGATACTGTCGCTCCCTCCCATTTTGTCTTGCATGAGGTATCGAAATTGGCAAAAGTTGTTGCTTTGATTACACTCTCATCGTTTCTGCTGCGTAAAAAACCTTTATAGGCTACCAATAAATATATCAGTTCATGTCTGAGAGTGTGTGTTGAGACAGGTGTCGGTGAGAGCGAGGGAGTTGAAGGATACTCGCCTCCATTCAGGCGTGTGCATCCCGGGTATTCAGACCGCTCGAACGCGTCCCCGTACCGCAGAGCATTCGCACACTAAGCACAGCTCTGGGGAGGGACTGGAGGGGGGTAGGAGGGTAGGTGCCACAACACGCCCACCTCACAACCACCTAAAATCGCTCACAATTACTCACCCATCAAATGACAACCCGCAAAAACTTTCCCACTCATGTAGCGTTGAACACTACGATGTGCACGCCAGTATGGCCACTTCCACTATCAGTGTAAGCTAATGCGATGATCACGAGGGGGCAATAACTCTGGAAATCATGTGTGTGTACACACCGGCCCGAAAATCAGCGGGAATCATTGAGAATCACGACGGAAATCAACGGAATTCAATAAGAATCACGACGGCAATCAATAGTTATCAACGGGAATCATGGATTCCGGGAGTCGTGTGTACACTTGAATTGGAAGTTATTGCCCCCGGACGATCACTACTTTGGCTTATAATTATTAGCTCTGAGAGCTATAATCATTCTTCTGGGCGTTTTCACAGATCGAAACTAACATTTTGTTTTTTCTGTTACGTTACAGTCGTCCGTCGCCTCAAATTGTTGGAGATGCGCTTAAGGTAAGCTAACTAAATAAGACCATTTAAATTGTGTGTTCTCATATGTTAGATTAAGGATGCTATCCTTGTACAGTAAATACTGGAAGAACATAGGAGCTAAAGAAGTTTAGAGGAAATGTCATAACGGCACTAAAGAATCCTAAAACAGTAAATTCCTATGTTTTATTGCACTTGCCAATGCACTTAAACCCCTCCTAACACCTACAGTGCGACTTGGCCACTTTGCTTTTCTAAGAAGAAAGCAATATCCTTGTCGAGTACATGCGCGCGGCTTAGGTGTGCAGTCTAAGAAAATTGATTTCTCGTAAGATGCCGTCGTCTGCTTGTACTACTACACGCGGACCAATAATCACGCCCCCCATCCGGTGCCCCATCCACGCCGCCGGGACCCCATCCGGGGCCCTATCATCTGCCACGCCCCGCCACGCCCCTGTGGTCCGTCCGGCCGGGGGACATCAAAGACCACGAGGGGGGCGTCAGTGGGGGAAATGCCTGTTATTGGTGCTCCTTTGGCCCCCCGGCCTATTGCGCAATCACCCGGTGCTTCACGGGGAGAAGAGCTCCATTTGCGGACGCTTCTTGTCGAAGGAGCAGTGGACGCCCCCATAGCACCCTATGGTGGATTTTTACCGGGTCTGCAAGGGCTCGTGTCGTGGTCGGCTGTTGTTCAGACAAAAGTCAGCACTGGAAATACAAAAAGGGAATATCGTGCCCGTGAAAATGGAAAAACGTCAGTGACTGTAAGGAGTTAAAGGGCTGCGGGTTCAAAAGTCTTGAGAGTTTCCGACCAATGGGAATTTTTTGCGCTTTCACGCCTGGTTCATTATCGTTTCGCGCCCCATTTAAGTCGTAAAACCTTTACCTTTACCATAATAGCGACCCTAAAATCGCTCCAAGTCCGTGCCACTGACTTTTCAAGAAAGGTAGGAAATGCTCCAGTGTTCTTGTTTACAGCGCGCTAGGATGCGCCTCGCTGACCTCGCCACACCTGCTCTCAACCCTCAGCGCTCATGTCCGCGACGGCAATGACAACAAAGACGGCAACGATTAGATATGAATCGTTGCCAGCTTTGTTGCTACTGTCGTTGCGGGCCGCGAGTCGTCACGCAGCGCCACACCACCGTCAAAAACCAGCAGCCCAGCGGCCGCCTGCATCGCAAGTTATGGCAAGTTACCTCAGGGAAAGTGCAGTGGAAAGTACTATCTGTCAAGAATCTGTTTTCCCCCTTTTTCCCCATTTACCCAAATTCTGGCTGTTTCCTCAGATAAACTATGGCCAACCTGCGAGTCACTCTAGTCCACCTTCGACACTGGGACATAACTTCACGGTGAAAATTACTTGTTTCTTGTGTTTCAAGAACTGGTCTTGGATGTCATTGGCGTTCTCCATAAGATAAGATCCCGGGTCTTCAAATACAAGAAACTTATTTCATACCGTGTTTTAAAAGTCAAAGTTTCTGAAGCAAAATGGGTGCATGTGAGCCACTGTGTTCAGTGTGTGTGAAGGCATGTAGGTGAGAGCGGGTGTGTGTTTAGGGATGGTCCTCCATAACTTATGTAAGCCATCCTAGCGTGGCGCGGTACACGCAAATCCCCAAGGAATGGGCGTGCAAAAAGTGGTTACGTGCGAAGGGCCGGATTAAGACGACGTACAGAGCTTTAAATTATGAGCCCTTGCGTAACAAATGTGAGGGCGCCTCCAGAGCGGCTTGGGACGGCCCGGGCCTATGGAATCCCGCCCGACCTCTCTCACCCTGCACGACATGATGAAAGTACAAGGAGAACAAGCTTGGGCTTTGGTTTATTTCTTCTTAGACTTCGATTGCAGTTCACAATCTTGAGTAGAAACGTCATTTAAATTTAGCATTGCATTTTGACTTCCGCGTAAGCAAGAATGGTTCAGCACTGGTATTAAAACACTGTGACGTTTACATTCAATAAAATATCGGCCGTGTCACACTGCTCAGCATATTAAGACACATTATTTATTAGAATGTGACTCGGCACCTCCATCACTACCGTTGAATGTGACCCAATATTCTTACCAACTTGATATGAGTCGTGGTCGTTTCAACGTGACATCAAAGGTTTAAATAATATAGTGTTTCAATTGGGACTAATTTGCTGAATAATGTTAGTGTTCAGAGCCGTCTTCCTGATGTGTGTGCTATGCACATACCAGCTCTCTTCCTGACTTATCCCCCCCCCCCACCTCCCTCTCTCTCGCTCTCTCTAGCCACAGCACATCGCGGCACATACACACATACACACACACAATCACACACATACACACACACACACACACACACACAAGCCCGCCCCGCCGGCTGGTCGGCACGCCACCAAGTCTCTGCCTCTGGAATGCAAGTTTAATGCCCCCCAGATAAGACTGAGCGACCAAGATAAGGAATGAGAAATTTAGGGCCGACGGCAGACCGCTGAATCTTTCATCTCGCGAGAATATAGCGGGGAGAGCACTTGTTTCGGCGCTGTAGCAACAGCGGTAGCAGTGTGGAGAGGGGAGCCGAGGCAGGTTGGTGAAAGAGGGTGGGGGGCAGGGAGGAAAATAACAGGAAGGGGGGAAGGCGAGAGGGGGGAGGGGGAAGCTAGGGGTCGCCTCCTGAGATGGATTATTGCACGTTCATAATAAATGGCAATCTTTTGGCTCCTCTCCTCTGGCCCCCAAGGAGTTCGTGACGGGCGAGGACTACTTCGGTGGTGTGGGTACACAAACAACAAACAAGCAGAAATGTACTGTGCTAACTGCAAATACACGAGATTCAGCTATCTCTCTCTCTCTCGGGAAAGCACAATCAAGCGTGGTGTTATGGCAGGGGGGGGGGGGGCTGAATATCATTCAAGTAGGTCGAGCCTCATAGTCTTTTTCCGCTATTGTGCGAGGAACTTGCCTCACTCATTTCGAGCAGGGAAACACTGTAAAACGTAGAGTGACCTTTCTTTCCCGAATAGAGCGACGTATAGACTTCATCGCTTTGTTAGAGCGATTTTTGCAAAATGACTCTAAATGAGTCTTCTTCGTAACATAAAATGTCGCAGAAACGACTCTAAACGAGCGACATTTACGAAAATGACTCAAAATGAATCTTATTCGTAACCAAAAATGTCGCGAGAAGTTACTCCAAACGAGCGATGTAAATAATATCGCTCTCCCAAGAGTCGTCAAATTGGCTTCACAATATCGCTCTATTTGCATCGTATTTGGTCACTCCTTTACTTGTAGTGAACTCATCTCTTTAGTGCACTCTAAACTTTTTTGCTAGGAAATTGGCAAGTACTAAGTTTTGGGCTACTTATATTTATTTTTTATTGAGAATAACCAGCAAGTCCAAGGGTGGTGCTCTAAGGATGCTACAAAGTTTGAATGATAGTTGTGGTGTAACGGCATTCTTTAGCATGACTAAAAAAAATTCCTGGTATTACGAAATGCCTTCCTACCGTAATCATGATAATTTAGTTAGTTAATAAAACGAAAATTTTAAAAGAATTAATTTGTTTCTATACAACGGCAAACAACTTTAGTTATCAGGCAATTTTTCTTATAGTAAACCGTTCGAGTGTGCCGCTATCACTGCAGTGCAGTACAACGGAGCACGCTACTATCCACATCCACGTGAAACTGCCACAACTCTCTTCCCGAAAGAGTTAACAAATAATTTAGAGCGGGGGCGCAATCACTGCAGCGGCCGGCCAGCGGTGGGCTGGATGGAGGTGGGAACCTGCGGCACCTGTGTACCAATCACCGTCCACTTCCGGTTCCGTCCGGCTCCGGCCGGTTCTGTTTCCGGTGTACCATTCCTGCGCTCCCGGCAACCACCTCGTCGTCTCTACCGGCAGTAATTTGTTGTTGCAGTTCAAATAGAACCCGAACGGCGGGTGGATGGAATCAGACTCACTCAGACTCTCTATGCGTCGGTGTCTGGAAAAAAGTTATAAGCCCCATGCACGGTATATACCGTTTATATAAACAACGTCTCATTTTTTGAGGGAAAATGGAAAAATTTGAGGGCCTCCCATGTTTGAGGAAAACTCTTTAGATTTCACCTCAGATTATAAGGAACCCCCTCAAAAGAATAAGGAAAAACCCCTCATTTTATGAAGAGACCTCGAAATCTGAGGAGTCTGTCTCAAAGTTTTCCCTTTTCCCTCAAAAAAGAGACATTTGTTTTTACAGTGGGGGGGGGGGGATATGCAATGAAAACATGATCGGCTCCAACAGAAAGTGAAAATTTGATTGCAATGTTTTTGCTTTCCGAGAAGTGATTTAGTTTAGTTATCAATTTATTTGAGGACGTCTTCCCCTTTCTTACTGCAGCCAATAGCAGAATCGACATCTTAAGTAAATAATACTCGAAGTAAACATCAAGTTGGAGCAGTCTTTTAGCACGGCGAAGACATGGCGGCAGAGAAAAGGCATGGCCAAGAAATAGCCACATTTTACTCAGTGACGTTCTCTCTCCGCAACTCAACTCTCTGCGCCGCGCGCTCCTCAGCACCAGTCTATTTGTTTTATTAAGTCGAAACCTTTTTTCGCCGGCGCGAGCAGCGAAAAGCCGACGCGCGCGCCTATGTAGGCCAAGTGCGAGGAAGAAAGATATAAGAGATAGAGAGGGAGACGCAGGATGGAGGGCAACGGAGAAGTCTGCAATAGGGAGAAGAGAGAGAGAGAGAGCGAGAGAGAGAGAGAGAGAGAGAGAGCGAGAGAGAGGTTGCGATTGGAGTGCTGGAGGTGGGGGAGGAGGCTGGAGTCAAATCAATCGCTCCCTCCGGAGATGGTGTCGGCAATCGAATTAATGGCGCCGGGCGGGCGGAGCCAGCTCGCCGATAAGACTCATCATTAACGCCCCAACACTGCTGGACAAGCTCCGCAGCAGCAACAGTTTTTAGTAGAAAAATGAAAGAGCGTTTCAGGTTGGTGGACATCGTGAGATTTGAAGCGCGAGCTTATTGCACCATCAGTTTTTGTGTATTTCACTGGAAAC